TCGTGGCCAGGTCACGGCCCCTCGGACTTTCCGTTTCTGAGGATTTCCTCCATGGCTTTGTGTTATCTCAGCTCTAGAACCGCACCAGTAAGCGAGCGTTAGGGATGCTTTGATCTAGGAAGCAATCCCCTTCCACCTCTCCCCTTCCTGCTCTCCCCTCCTCCCTCGGCCAGGCCCAGGTAAGCTGCGTCTAACTTGGGCTTCAGTTACTAACAGCTCCGGGGACTGCTCTCTCGTCTCCCAGAAGCCCTGCTGGTTTGACCCCATCAAGTTCTACTTACCCGAGTGTTATACAGCCGTCCCCTTAATTACACACTCAATCAGTTCCTCCCGAGCTCAGCAATTTATGGGCTCCAGGAATCCCCCAGCTGCGTGTCTGCTGGGCCCGGGCGGGACTCGGAGGCTCGGAGTGGGTTTCGAAGGCCACGGTGCCCAGGGTTGCAAGCCTTGCTGCTATTTCACACTCTATTTCCTCCCAAATTAACTCTCTGATGAATACTATCCTTTGCAGTGGTTCAGCGCGGGCTGTTTCCTCAGATCCTGCCTTTGCCTGTGAGACTTTTCATCTCTCTCCAATCCAGATTTGCCTCTGGAAAGCCTGCCTCCGAGAAAAATGTCCTGCTTTCCAGCCAGTACAAACAGCCCCACCGCCGCCGCCGCAGCCTCTTGGCACACTTATTCTACTGGTTGACCTAGGCTGTACCTTTGATTTCAAAGCACATACCCACCTTCTCTAAAAATCTGCACGCCCTGGCCGGGTAGCTCCGTTGGTTAGAGCGTCGTCGCAATACACCAAGGTTGCAGGTTTGATCCCTGCTCAGGGCACATACGACAATCAGCCTATGACCGCATAAATAAGTGGAACAACAAATCGATGTTTCTCTCTCTCTCCACCCCCACCTCTCTCTAAAATAAATAAATAAATAAAAGATTAAATCTGTACCAAAAGAAGCAACTGGAACTTCTGGATAGACAGTGAGCCACTGAGGTCTAGTTTAAGCCCCAAATACATGAAGATGCAGATTCAAAGTTTGTATTTGAGCAGCGACCATGTTCCAGACCCTCCCACCTGCACAGAGCATCCTCCTCAATCTACAGGTAAAATGAGACCTGCCATGTGAGGTGAGTTGCCCGAGGTCACAGTGCCCAGGAAAGTGGTAAAACTGGAATTCAAGTCCCTGGCTCTTTATTCCACAGTAGGCACTTCTTTCGCCATCCCACAAGTAGGTTAAGCACCCCTAAAACAATACCAGGATCTTACCACCAATGGCACACCATCCAGGACGGGGTACCCGCTGCCCTGGCTGCCCGAGGAACACACAGCCGGAGCCACAAAGAGGCTTTTCTGACAATAACATGAGCAATGCCTTATGTGTATATAACATTTTACATATTATGAAGTTCTTTACATACCTAATCGAAGTGATCCCAGGCTAATTCTGTGAGGGAGGCACTATATTGGAGTCCCATTTTACAAAAGAAGATATACAGACTCCGTAACAGGAAGTTAACAGACTTTCCCAAAGTCACACATACAGCGGTAGGACTTGAACTCACAGCTCATGATTCCAAGACCAGTTCTCTTGCAAGTTCTCAGGCACTAGTTTGGATCTTTAAGGATTAAGATGATGGGCCATGTCACCCCCACCCCCACCTTCAGGGAACTATACATTCAAAAGCCAGGTGGGGAGAAAGGAGTCCTGGGAAGACCAGCTTTTTATTGGGAAAGTGTTTTTCAGCTCTCACCCCACCCACCCTTAGACGACCCGTTCCTAGAGGGTGGCAAGGTGGACTGGGAGGGTTGGACTGCATGGCCAGTCCCCTTGGCCACTAGAGGGCAGGGTCTGAACAGAGCACACAGCCCTCTCCTCAGAGAATTCCCAGCCAGCCACAGGGACACCTTCTTTCCCTAGGACCCCAAGGTACACAGCGAACTGCAGCTCCAGCCCCAAGGTTGAAGAATGATACTTCCCTGGCATACAGTCAATGAAGCGGTTGCTCTAAACCCACCCCAGCCTCCTTTGCAGATGGATGGGCAGTGCCCTCCAGGATTCCGGCTGAGAAGGGGTACCACGTGCCGCTTGCAAAGCTCAGAGTTTCTTACAACAAATACAAATAAGACAGCGGCGCCAAGTCCTGGTGCTCTGAGGACTGGGGGTGGGTGGGGACTCTCTCTTCCTCCTTCTCTCCAGCTGGGCCCTTCAGAGTCAAACTGTTTAAGGGGTGTAAGCGCAGAGCAAAGAGCCCTGTGAGTAGGCCCTCAGGAGACCTGTCAGGTGCATTCCTGATGATGTCAACCTACCCAAGCAAGTTCAGCTGCATCAGGGAAGAGGAGAGGCCACTCTATCCTGGGACGGTCTTTACTTTGCCACTAAGGGTGCAACCCCCTCTTGAAATTACTTTAACCCTAACAGCACTCATTTTAAAAGCATTAAGAGAAAGGAATCAGCCCTGGCTGGTTTGGCTCAGTGGTTGGAACGTCGGCTTGCGGACCAGAGAGTCCTGGGTTCAGTTCCCACTAAGGGCACGTACCAAAAAAAAAGGGAGAGAGAGAGAAAGGAATCAAAGCCAGGAGCATGTTAAGAGTTTATTCAGTGCTTTTCACATCTATCCTCAGGACAAATTGTCAGGTAGGCAAATATTCACATCCCTGTTTTATAGTTGGGAAAACATAAGCTCAGAGAAGTTAAGTGACTTGCCCACAGTCACGCCGCTGGTGAGTGACGGAGCCAGGGTTTTCCATATGCACAGGAGCACGCCCCTCAGCAAGGGCAGACAGAGAGAAGGGCAGACAGAGAGAAGGCACTGCTTGCAGAGAGAGAGCTGGAAAGAGCATCCCCAAAGTTCCATAAGAGCTGAGGAAACCCATCATAGTTGAGAATCTGGTGGGGAAAAATACCAGAAGAGCAAAAAAGAACATTTGAAAGCCCTCACATTTACTCGATTCTCAAAACAACCTTAATTTGTAGGTATAATTCTCTTCATTTTACATGAGAGGAAATACAGGCTTAGAAACACCTGTTCAGGGGTCACAGAGAAAAGTATCTAGTGTCAGAATTTGAACCCAACAGAAGCCTTGCTGCCCCCTGGTGGTGAGTGGGGAGGCGTGCACAGAGCCACCTTTGCAGGAAGAGTTCAGAATCCTTTCAACCAATGTTTGTTCAAGTCCACTTTGTGCCAAGTCTTGTACTTGGCCCTAAGAACACAATAGTAGACAAGACAGACAGCCTCAATGGAGAGATAAACAGAAACATGGGAGGTGTCAAGATGAGCAGGGATTAGAGGGGCAAAGGCAGTGTTTCAGGTGGGTCAGGGGATGGAACAATGTGTGAGAAGCCAGATTTTTCTTAAACAGGTTAAGTCTGGTCAGCGGGGCTGTGTGAGGGGGCGTGAGGAATGAGGCTGGAGAAGGAAGCAGGAAACAGCTCTCAAAAGGTAACAGAAGGCAAGAAAGAGTGTAATCCATTAGGAAGCCACTAGGTAACCTGGGAGTAGGATTATGGCCCCGGGAGAGTGGTGGCCAAGGGGACATTCACTCAACAAATGCTGAGCACTTGCATGCACCAGGGCTACTGGTGATGCTGGGACACACCGGTGAACAAGGTACAGTCTGTCTTCATGGGACTTACAGTCTAGTTAGAGAGAGAAACAAATAAATGCACAGGTGTATAATGTCAAGCACTGATAAAAACCGTGGCGGAAGAGAGGACAAGGTGTGCTGGTTTGCTAGGGCTACCACAGCAAATGCTACGGATCAGGTGGCTTCAACAACGGAAATGTATTTCCTTCCAGGTCTGGAGGCCAGAAGTCCAAGATCGTGGTGTCAGCAGGGCTGGGTTTCTTCCGAGGCCTTTCTCCTTGGCTTGTAGATGGCCGTTTCCCCCTGGGTCTTCCACGGTCTTCCCTCTGTGTTGGTGCCCTCACCTCCTCTTCTCGTGACACCAATCATATTAGATTGGGGTCTACCCGTATGACCTCTTTTTACCTTACTTACCTCTTTTTTTTTTTTAATCCTCACCGGAGAACATTTTTAAATATTTTGTTGAGATAGAGTGGAAGGAAGAGAGAGAGAGAGAAACATCGACGTGAAAGGGACACATCGAGTGGCTGCCACCCACACAGCCCAACCAGGGCCGGGGACAAACCGCAACCGAGGTACATGCCCTTAGCGGGAACTGAACCCGGGTCTCTCCGGACCGCAGGCCGAGGATCTAACCGCTGAGCCAAACCGGCCAGGGCTACTTACGTCTTTAAAGGCCACATCTTCAGTTACATCTGAAATACTGGAGGTTAGGACTTCAATATATAAATTGGGGGGGAGGCATAATTCAGCTCATAACGAGGTGACAGAATGTAACTGAGGTTGGAGGTAGAACAAGAGGAAGGGTCTGAAATATTTTATGTAGGATAATATGGGAGGGTCTATGAGAGGACATTGACTTGAGATCTGAGTGAAGAGAGGGAGCCAACCATACAAATGTCTAGGAGAACATTCCAGGGAGAGGAAAGGGCTTATGCAAAGACCGCAGGTGAGGACAGGACTTAGGGTTGGTTACATGGATACAAGACAGTAAGCAGACGAGTGTGGCTGGAGTCCAGGGGAGGGGAGGAGAGGATGCTGCTGGGCCTCGAGGACCCTATGAGGACTCTCTCTTTGATATGGGAAGCCGGGGGAGAATTTCAGCAGAAGAGTGACACGATCTGACTTGTGTTTTAAAAGCAAGGCCTATGTTGAGAATAAACTGGGAGAGAGAAAAGGGGCAGAAATGGGACTTTGCAGTAAGTCCAGGGGAGAGAGAATGCTGGGACTAAGACAGCAGCAACGGACGTCTTGAGAAGTGGTCGGTTCTGGATATAGTTTGAAGAGAGACACAAAAGGATTTAATGCTGGGTTAGCTGTAGGGATGAGAAAAGAGGGGAATCAAGGGAAATTCCAAAGCCAGGGGCATTGTGTAAAGGCATTTTATTTAAACATCAACACGACCTGCTTGGATAATCAGTCACTCTCCATTTCCAAGTTCCACCACCTGTGCTTGAGAGCAGAGCAGGTGTATTTTTTCTGGGTTCAAGGTGTGAACTGACAAGGTGTTCAAGAACTTGTCCAGTGGACAGAGCTGGTCGGGGCAACCACTCAGCACTTGTTCCTGTGGAGGAGACTTGACTCAGCGGGCCGGGTCCCCGTCCCTCTCTTTCCGGCTGTGCCCAGAGGTCTGCTGCACACAGCCAGAGACCCCACTCCTCAGTCAGCTCCCGGAATAACAGCACTCTGCCTGCTTGTAAAAGTCCCTCAGGAACTGTTTGTTGAACTGACTGGGAAGACACAGGCAAGTCAGGCCCAGAGCTGGGAGGGGCCAAAGGTCTAACCCTTGGGGACTGCTCTAGCCGCTGCCCTGGACAGCAACCTGCGGAAGAGCCGGTACCAGCCGCACTAACAGCACACATCACCTCCCAAGGACACCACCATTAATTTTCAAAACAAGCTTCGCAGTCGGGGTTTTACATCCTGGCAGACACACTCAGAAGAACAGGAGGGTGGTCCTGTTCTTAGAAGGAGTCTGTAACAGAACTGGGACACGGCCCAAGTTCCAGCCTGCCTCTATATGCCAAGTTCTACCTTATCCCTGGGCTGCAGCAGGAGTCACCCTAGGTGACTCAGAGAGCTGATTATACCAATGGTGCTTGAAAGCCGCTGGGTGGGGTTGGGGGAAGGGTGCCTGCTCACCACCCAACTCCACCTTGGAGGTTACCATTTCCCATGGTAGCCACTCCTTAGACTCCTGGTGCTATCGAGTCCCATGATCACTTCAGCAGCCAATGATGGCCACTTGTGGTCAAAAATCCCCAGGGCCATTAAGAAAGGTAGGAGGGTCACATCATGAGCACACAGCTCTCTGTAATGAGGAAACAGTTCTGCACAGATCTTTCCTCGGGACTCCGGAGGCCAGGACACTGCCTGCCCCCTTTCAGTAAGGAACGGCATTTGCCTCAGAAACCAGGCAGCACCTGGAAATCAGGTGAGCCTGGAGACACGCCTTTGAAGTAGATGTTTTCATGAAGCAGGATCCCCCTGGAGGGGCTCTCTTGGCTTCCTCTTGACCACTGGCTCTCCCACCCACTCACCCATGCCTTCCCTGGCGAGTTTCAAAGAAGAAACTGAGCACGTCCGCCTTGGGCCCTCCTCCCCTCTCTCTGGAACCTGGCTGCCTATGGCAAATGTTCTTCCTGCTCAGCTGTGTGATGAGTTGAGCAGAGTAGGTGCTCCTCCTAGTTGGGCAAGCTGGCATTTGGGGGGAATTAAGTTCACTTCAAAGAACATTCATGAACCTGTTTGGCCCTCAACACATTCTCCAAGTGGCTTTCATCAGTAATCCAGTGGCTATGTTAATCCATATCTGTCTGACTCCTGTATCTATTTCTTAGGAAAGATCAAGGATTTTATTTGTTGGCCCCCAAACTAGAGAACTAGCTTTGGGTTCTATAGTATTCTACAGACATAAGGCCAAAGGGACAAAGTGACAAAGGACAGCAAGGAATGTATTGTCATCATGGGTACTGTGATGGGCAGAGATGGGCATTCCCATAATTTGCTATTATAAATCTTGGCTCAAGTTCCTGAATGTTTCTGTTTCAACTCACTGTCTCCTGTCTTTCCCCTTGGGATCTTTTAAAACTGCACATTATGATTCAGTGGGTCAGGCTGGGGCCTGAGAAGCCGACACGCTCCCAGACGACGGTAAAGCTGTTCACCGGCAGACCTCTTTGCTTAGCAAGTGCCTGGGGTATACAATGTTCCAAACCTGCGTTCCCTCCCGGGGCTTCCAGGCTCTGCAAAAGGGTGATGGAGCTCCACGAGCCACCTCCAACATTTCATTTCTTTCTCTATTATTATTAGTTTTTTTTATCCTCAATGAGGACATTTTTTTTTTTTTTTTTGTATTTATCTTTCAGATAGAGTGGGAGGGACAGAGGGAGGAATAGAGAGAGAGACACATCGATGCAAGAGAGACACATTGAATGGTTGCCACCCACACAACCCCAAAAGGGGATGGGGACGAACTGCAACTGAGGTACATGCCCTTAGTGGGAACTGAACCCGGGACTCTCTGGTCCGCGGGCCGATGCTCTAACCGCTGAGCCAAACCGGCCAGGGCCATTTATTTATTTTTAATATGTTTTTATTTATTTTTTAGAGAGAGAGAGAGATAGAAACATCAATGTGAGAGAGAAACATCAATCAGCTGTCTCCTGCACGCCCCCTACTGGGGATCGAGCCCACAAGCCCGGCATGTACCCAGACCAGGTATCAAACCAGGACCTCCCAGTCCATGGGAGAACGCTTAGTCCACTGAGCCACACTGGCTGGGCCCACTTCTAACATTTTAAAATGCCTAGTGGTATCATACCCTTCTATATACTCCATGAAGGTATTAAAATTACACAATCAATTAACCAATTATCTTACAGCTATTATAATATCAAGTCAGTGATAGCATAATTAGCTATTCTGTTTGTTACATGTTCAATTAGTAAAAAATAGAAAAATTAATTTAGGGTTCTTTTAGCTTAAATTAAAATTTCAAAACGTGGTAGGATGGGTGGAGGAGGAAGAAAGGTGAAAATGTGAACATCTTTGGGACTAGCGGCCTCTGAAACATCTACCTTCCATCACCGACAGCCCGATTCTTGCCCCCCTAAACCTGGGTCCCTCCCTGCAGCCAGAGGCCCCCGCTGCCCTCAGCTGCCAGACACCTGTTACTCCGGGTGGAGTGGCCGGGCCCTCGCCCTTCAGCAGGCTGCTCTCCAGCAGGTGGAGACAGGGTCCTGCTGCCATCTGAAGGCTTCCCCTGTGGCAAGGAGACATGTCAGCACCCAGCAGTCACTCCGCCCCGGGACGCAGGCTGGGTCTGCCCCCGAGGACCCCCTCAGACAGAACCGAGAGAAAGACCCGTGAGGCTGGAAGGAGAAGGACGGTGCTGCCTCCAGTCTGAGGGTTCTCCGCGCACAGCGAAGAGACCTGGTACGAACACAGCCAGATGCGAGGGGCTGAGGGGGTCGGGCAGCCCGGGAGGTCAGACAGAACAAGGCCTCCAGGAATGAAAGAACAAAGCTGGGAAGGACAGGGTGTCATGACTTCCAGGGATTCCAGGAGGCCCTTGGAAAAGCAATCTGAAGGAACCACATCCTAAACTACGCTTCCCATGGGCCAGCCGCCTTCTTTGGAGATTAGACCACGAGGACTTTCCTATGGACAGATTCCATCTAATATGCTCCCATGGTTGGCGCGGGGGCTCCCCCACTTCCCCCATTTCCCTTCTCAGGCTCATCCTAAACAAAGCAGTAAAGTGAGGTCCAGCAGGCAGCCAAAAGACTTGGTTTGGGTGCCTCTCACTTTTTATCAAAGAGAAAAAAACCCTCTCCCGGAATTCCCAGAACCCAACCACTGACAAAGGGAATGGAATCGCTGTGACTGGCTTAGACCGATCTTCGTTCATGGTGACTGGATAAATGGCCACCTGTCCAAATCAAGGAGCACGGAAACAACAGATGAGGAGCAGGCAACCGACACTATGTACCAGCACTTTCCAGAAAACATGTGCAAGCCAAGCCAAGCCGGGTGGCAGTGTGAGGCTGTAACCATTCGCACTCAGAGAAACATCACTCCTATGAAACCAGGACTAATTGGAATGGAAAGAGAACACATCAGGTCTTATTTAAAATGCTCGACACTAGGAGAAAGCAAACTATGGCTGTCGGTCAAATCCAAACCACCTGCCTGTTTTTGGAAATAAAATTTTAGTGAAACACAGCTGTGCCCATTTGTTGGCTTGTCATCCTTGGCTGCTTTCATGCTACATATGGGCAGAGATGAGTACTTGTAACAGATAAAGCAAAAGCCACAAAGCCTAAAATATTTACTGTGTGTGTGTGTCCGCGCGCACGCCTATTAGTGGAGGGGAGGACAGTCAGTGACAATGTAAGTCTGCTGGGGCCACTTCAGGAACAGATGCGGGAAGGTGGCGAGGACAGGAAGTGGCAGCAAGCCGAAAGGTGAGGCGGAGCCTCTGGATGTTCTGTGAGAGTACAAGTGGACACTGACTCTGAGTGGGAGAAGAGCTGTCAGAGGCTCTCATTCTTACGCAACAGACGGCAAATTCTTGACATGTTAGCTGTGTTTCCCTCCCACCAGCTTCCTAGGGCTGACCCTGTTTCCCATCTCCTCTACCAAGTCACCTACGCCGAGTGCAAGCTGCACGCTCCTAACCGATGGCAAGACAAACGTGGTTTTTGTAGTTTGGTAAGAGAGACACTGTCCATTCTGACAGCCAGGAAACAGGCCGTCTCAAAACAGAGCCCCGACTATCAGTAATACAGAGAGAGCAGGATGGACAGTCGGAAGATCTGGGTCCGAGTCCGGGCTCAGCCCCTGCTCACTGAGCTGAGGTCAGGCAGCCATCCCTCAGGCCCAGTTTCTTCACCTAGAAAGCCAGGTCTTGGACCCTATCAGGGATAATGACAACGAGAACACGACAATTATTTGTAAATTGTGAGGTGATGAATAAAGCGAGCAATAATTATTCTTGCTTCCGCTCCCCCACCCCAAATCCTTTGATTGACATAGCAAAAGAAATACATCAGTGATGAAGAGGAACCCAGTCAAGTGGTGGCTCCTGATTCTTTATGACAGTGAACAGAAGCACTTGGGTCAAGCGCCAGCTCAGCCAGGGCTGAGCCCCTCGGTAAGCCAGCAGAATGGGGAGGTTTCGGTCCATGACACATAGAGAGGCTAGCAGGCAGGTGCGAGTGGTCTGACGAACCCCTTCCCCACACACGGGGAGGCCTGACCATGTGTGACTTCATGCCAGCAGCTGAAGAGGCCCCTCACCTGTCTTCTCTTGGCACACACAAGGCTGTGCCCACAGCTCTGGTCAATGCTCCCTGCAGATCTCATCACTGTGGGCCGCTCAGGAGGCCGTACCCCAGAAAGAGCCTGGGGCGCGGTTTCAGAAAGAAGTACTTCTCATTCACTGAGCCTGCAGGCTGGTCAGCTTCCATGGAGCCTCCAGGGGCCTGGGGAGAGCCTTCTCCCGAGGGGAGAAGCTTCCCCCTCAAGGCTCCGTGGAAGCTATTCCTAGAGACCTGAAGGCCCAGGAAAAAACCGTTTTACCTCTTTCTGATGGCTCCCCATTTACTCCGAAGTGAAAACCATTTGTATTTTTTTAAACTGTAAAAGAAAAAAATAATGGTGAATAAAATACAAGGCAAGTGATTCATGGCCTTCATTTCCCCGAAATGATTTCCAGAAAGTATGGCATATGAACACTTCATATAAACTCCTGTCTTATAACCATAAACCTATTCTACACAGGTGTAGAAGCACAGGTGTATTCCTGTCTTCTGGGCACACTGCTATCTTCACCAGAGAAGGAAGGAGGATCCAAGCTCTATGGCCTTTGGGTGTCTGACTTTTGAATCCAGAGAAGCATTTCCCATTGTGTGTTCTTCTATGTTTATTAGATTTTAAAAAAATTCTATGGCTAAATAAGTTTGGGGAAAACAGACTTAAAGATTAACCAGCTTTCTTCACTACAGGCTTCTCAGATTGTTTAATAGGCTGACAGGTATATAGACTCTTCAAAAACGGATTCAACAGACAGGGATTCCAACAGTTTTAGACAACAACCCTTCCCTCCCCACTGCCCGCCCTGCCTCTGACCATCCATGATACACACACTCACATCACTGGTATTCGAGGGCACACGTGTCAAGAAACTCTGCTCTAGAGGTAAATGTCTGTGCTCCTGAATGAGGAGTCCCCCTAATCTGCCCCCAAACCAGGAGGCCTCCACCCACTTCTCTCCACCCAGTTCCAACTTAGGGGCCAGGCCATCCAGGTGCCCACGTCAGGCTCCCCCACCCCCAGGGCCCAGGAAGGACAGTCACCCCACCTGCTCAGCAGCCACATCGTCAAGGAGGACGAGGAAGTCCACTCCATTACTACTGGCAATGCCCATTCCCTCCTTCACCTTTTTCAAATCCTCAGAGATTCCTGGCTGCAGAGGCAGCCGCCTCCGGGCTCTGCCAATAAATAAAAAGTATCCCCTTATATTGTAAGTGATGGAAAGTTTACAAAGTATATCTGATTCATCATTGGGAATCTCACTTAATCCTCAACAACCCATGATTCCCATTTTACAGATGAGTAAACTAAGGCTCTATTGAGGTAAAAAATGACTTGTAAAAGTTAACACTTGCTAACTTTTCTAGTACCAGGGCTAGAATAAAAGCTAGGATTTTCCAAATCCCACTCTAGCATTTTCTTTTATTATACCCCAAACAACGCGAGTATGGCCTAGGTCTGCTTGAACACAGCATTCTGTTTCTTCTGTTGAACACATATTTTGTCCTCTTAGTACAGGCCCTCAGTTCAGGCAAGTCCTGCCAACAGATGCGGTAAAAGGCTGTCTGTCTCCCTGTGGTGAGCAAGAACCCGGGGCCGTTACCTGGTTCTTTCCCATGGGCTCCGGCAGTTCTGGTGGTTGGGGTCCAAGACTTCAGAGCTTCATCGGTGTGAATGATGACGGGTCCTGGACGTAAGGTGGGAAGCACAGGCAGGAAGAAGCCCCAGTTGGTTCTTCCCAGCATCTCCTCCCTCTTCTTCTCTTTGTCCACACAGATGGAGCTGCTCCAGGGGGCAGATCAGCAAGGTTACTCCTAAGGACAGGGAATTTCTTCAACACGCCCTGGCCCTGCCGGCAGGAGCTGTCCTGCGGTCTGTGCAATGGAGAAAGCAGGGAGCAGCCTTGTTCCTCTGGCACAGCCCATCCTACTGGGCCGCATAAGCCAGAGCAGGTACAAACCTGGATCAGGCGGGCACTTCCCTGATCCATTCCAAAAATCTGACCTCAAGGCACTACCAAAGCTTGGGCTTTCTTTTCTTTCTTTCTTCTTCTTTTTCAACAAGTTTGTGTATGAAATTTTCTTTTAAGATTTTTTAAAATTGAATTTTAGAGAGTGAGGAAGGGAGCGAGAGAGAAACATTGATGTGAGAGGGGAACATCAATGGGCTGCCTCCTGCACGCCCCCTACCGGTAATGGAACCTGCAGCCCGGGCATGTGTCCCGACTGGAACCGAACCAGCAGCCTGGTGACCTCTCAGTGCACAGGACAACGCCCAGCCAACTGAGCCACACCAGCCAGGGCGTTTTCTTAATTTAATTTTTATTTTTATTAGTTTTTTTAGAGAGGGAAGAGGTAAGAGAGGGAGAAACATTGATGTGGGAGAGAAAGTGAAACATCAATTGGTTGCCTCTCACAGGTGCTCAAGCTAGGGGTTGAACCTGCAACCTGGGTATGTGTCCTGACCGGAAATCGAACCTGCCACCCCCTGGTGTATGGGATGATGCTCCAACCAGCCGAGCCACACTGGCCAGGGCAGCACTTGGGCTTTCTGATCCATGGGCTGTCCCTGACTTTGTCAGAACTAGGTGACTTTCTTGCTTCCCAAAGTTAATCCTAGAGGCCAGCATAGTGACTTATCACCCAGCAACCTGAGCAAGGGGACCACAAGGCCACACATCCTCTCAGACCCCATGCTCTGCCCCAAATGAAAGCCAGCCTTCCAGCTGAACTGCAGGAGCCAGAGATGGACTACAAGCTTTGCAGCAGCTCCCTACTGCTCGGAGCTCACAAGCACTTTTGTTCCTTCCCACTGACGCTCAGTGGAGGCCTCCAATCCCTCTCATGCTTTGCTCTGCGCCAGAGATGGCAATGGCCTGTGGCAATTCCCCTGTCTACACAGCTCAGTCTGACCTTCTCTGATGGTAAAAGACTCAGCTCCATCAGCAGCTCTTTGGAATTCTCTGAGGTCAATCTGTGGGGTGATCAGGTGAATCTGAGCCACAAAGAGCTATTACTCCCAAATTATTGCTAGTCAAACCCCCAGGACTTTGAAAGTAGCCTATGGTAACTTGACTACAATATCAGAATCCAGACACACTTCATTGGCCAAATGATCAGAGAGGATCTTGAGAAGCACGATCTTGAGAAGCATGAAGGTGAAGAGTATGGATTCTAAAACCAGACTGCCAGGGTTTAAATCCAAGCTCCACCATTTACCAGCTGTGTGTCCCTGGGAAAATCATTTAGCCTCTCTGTGCCATAGTTCTCTTATCTGTAAATTGGTGATAATGTTACCTACCTCACAGAATTATTACAAGAATTAAGTGATGCACACAGACAATAGTGTGGTGAAGGTGTGGGGGGGGGGAGTGGGGAGGAAGGGGTCAAAGGGGAGGCATCTGTATTACTTTCAACAATAAAGATAAAATAAAAAAAGAATTCAGCAAATTCATAAATGCAAAGCTCTTAGAATAATGTTTGGTGCATCGTAAGTCCTTTAAATGTTATAATAATAATAATTATACCTTAAACCTTTAATAATAATTATACCTTAAACCTTTAATATAACATGATAATTCCTATCTGGTGTCTGATATTGGTGTCTGGAAATTGTACCTACAGCTTATGTTGATGAATGACTAACCACGTGGTACAGACCAACAACCTCCAGCTTCTCCCACGCCTGACTCTATAACGTACACATGACCCTCTTGAACTTCTCTAAGTGTTTACTCCTGAAACAATATCTCAAAGTTGCACCACTCCTATTCATCCTAACACCTTGCGGGGTTCATTGGTCTATTCAAGTCCCTTGACACTGGTCAAGGGCTGGAGGTCTCTGTGACAGAGGTCCAGCTGGAGTCCCACGACATCTAGGTCCCATGCAGGAAGCTACCGCCCAAGCAGCCACACCAGAGGCTGAGGGTGACACCACTTCCTTCCTTGCTGAAAACCTGGGGCAGCCTCAGTCAGAGCCCTGCCTGCAGATAGATCTGCTTCCAAGAAACATCTTTCCTACTTCAGTCACCCTCTTGGTTTTCTGAGAAGAGGACATTTGCTTTTTGGAAGCTGAGCGAGTGGAGAGCTTTCAGAAGCCAGGCACTGTGGGCTGTATGCTGTTTGAGGCCAGCAGGCAACTTCACCCAGAATCAGCAGCGCTCCGCAGCCCAGCTGGGAGCAAGGCCAGCCTCCGCTGGCCTGGAGGCTTCTATCATTTTCTACATATTTGTAAAAAGCCTGATGAAAATGTTGTATCTATTTGAGACACTGCTAAAGAAGCTACACAAAATAACACGAACCTTTGCCTTCTGGCACCATTTTAGTATTTTAATATCAGTAAGGTCATGGTGATCTGAAATTCAGACCAACAATTAAATGTAATTTTGAATCAACTGTATGTGACAAAATGCAGCTTCATTTATAGTCAAAGGCCCTCAATACGTGGGAACCATGAGGGAAAATAAATGTGGTCCTCGGTGGTGAGAAGGTTGGGAACCACTAGCTGTGACCATTCACGGCTGAACTGGTCAAAACCCAAACTCGATATGCTTGCTCAGCTAGCAAAGGCTGCATGAATGTGGGTAATACTCCCTAGGTCGTGCTGTGGATTGTCACTAAGACCAGAGCAGCGGCAGCAGGCTTAGGTCCCAGTTAGGTGTGCCTCCCGCCCGCCTTCCTTTTCAGCAGTGTCTCATCTAAGCAGAAAGCCCCAATGTTGTTCACAAGACCTGCCTAGGGTGGCCTCATGCCGTTGGTGCAGGAGATTTAGGGCGGGGTCAGGAGGCAGAGCCCATGGAGCTGCTGATACCTGTCTGCAGCTGTGGGGGTGGGCTGGCCGGCAGCAGCCGCTCAGACAGGACGGGCCCACCAGAGCAGGTGCACCGTGGGAGCCACGTGTGCGGGAGAAGAGAGACCAAGGCGGCGGGCACCAAGGAAGAGAGAGACAGGGGCTTTGGAATGAAGAAGAAAAGCTCCTTGGGGGCAAGGGCTGACTTTTAGACTCCAAATTCAAACCTTCTTTCTCACGCTGGAAAAGCCCAGCCGGCAAACGCTGGATAGGCTCCAGATTCGGATACACACCTGTGGAATGAACACAGGAAAGAAACAAAAAGGTAGAGGTCCTCATCTGTACTGTACAGTCATGGTCTTCAAAACATCACAGGTAGCCATAGGTCTCAGCTCCAACTGCCCGTACAATCTTACACTCACTGAGTCAGATGTGATGACTTCAGTTTTCAAAACAAAAGTCTTTTCTTCTAATCCCATATACCAGAGCCTCTTCCCAATTTATGTCTCTTTCAATGCTCCCACAATTCTCCTAAGCCCCCAAACACAAATCTATGACTCTCCCCACTGACCCACCATCCCTGCACCAAACCCTGTAGATCACTGGCTAGAAACAAGTCACTCCAGTGGTCCTTCCAGTGGTAGAGCATAAAACCTTATGACCTTCGACACAAGCCTGTGTCAGAATCCCTCCCCTGGACCCCCATAATCCATCTATACATAACCACCTTGCTAAACCACTTTAATCTTATCAGTAGCTTTTCCTAATGTTTCGAGAGATAAACAACTAGCCTTCTAGGACTTCTGCACTTTGGCCCAGCCCTGTCCCCGGCTGTACTGCCCCTCGGCCTCTCTCCTCCCCTCCCAGTCCGGGCCAGGCCCACTGCTCCTCTGCCTCTTCTCAGCCTGCTTCCCTTGCTTGCTTAGAGGGACTCCTGTCCCTATGTGCCCATCCAACTCTGTCCAAGGTTCAATGATAACTCGGGTATTACTTCTCCATCAGTGACTACTCCAGCTTTCAGTGAATGTCTACCTGAATTCTTACAGCACTTACAATCAAAAGAGCAACATTTAACTCAATTTCCCACAACTTCGTTTTGCTTTAAAACTAACATTTGAAAACCTATTACGTCACATACGATTGTATTTATCTTGGCCTCCTCCCAGCACTATCCCAGGAGAGTGCCACTAGGAGCCCCAGGTTCTCTCTGTCCCCAGGAAGCTCTCCATTCTTCCCAAAGGCAGGTCTCAGTCCCATCTGCACCGACTCTCCTACACCTGAGTCTCTTCCCCTGCTGGTGCTTGGCAACTGATACCAGAAGACTGGGTGTTCAGAGCAGAGACCTTCTTCCTGCTATCGGAACTTCTTTCAAAGTTCTGATGCTGTAACTTTTCCTGCATAAAATCCTCCGGGGGCTCACAGTGCGCGGTGGCCCCCGGCCCTCTCTCTCTTCACCCTGCCCCACACATTTACTCTCAAGCCACACAACTCTGTTTCCTACTGCACTGTTCTCACACCGTTTGGCTCTTCAGCCTCGTGTTCCTTCTATCTGGAATTATCTTTTATCTGTCATCTGGAAAGACTTCTGCTCATTCCATGGGACAGCTTCAGTATTCCCAGAAGCCATGACTATGCCCCTTGCTCTCACAGAAGCCTCGGTGGCTTGCTTTGGTGGCCTTTACCAACCTGTACGAGAAGAATTCCTTTACCAGACTACTTGCAGTAGATTCAGCTTCCTGCAGACAGAGACTGGGTCATCTATTGACCTCTGCATTTTGGATGCTCATCAAAGGGCCTGGCATGCAGTAGGTACAATTAATAGTGCCAGCAATCTGCCAGATCCTGGGGAAGATACCAAGACCGTGACAACATGACCCTGCCTTTTGAGGTTTTCAGGCCATGAGTGTAAGTGATAGCAGTACTAAAATAGAAGCCATGTGCTACAAGAAACCAAATGAAGGCCACAGCAGTTCAAAGGCAAGACAGGCCTTCTCTTCTGGGCTGGGATTCAGGAAACGTTCCATGGAAAGAATGGCATCTGAGATGAATAAGATTTAGACAAGCCAAGATCTGGACTTGAGAGTACAACGTGGGTAAGAACAGAGGGTGGTATCGAGAATTCCAAGAATACAGGATGGGGCAGAGTAGGTTTACAGTTGTTCATATGGAAAATAATACAATAATTAATAAATAATGATACTAGAATAAACTCTGTATTTCATGACCTCACAACTGCAAACCTACCTTTGCCCCACCTGTACACAGAAAGCTTGAGCCATGGCGAAGAATGTACACAGGAAAGAAGTAGTTTGATTTGCCTCTACCTGGGATCGGTTTTCAAACTTCTTAATTAGTAAATACCGAGCAGAGTTTAACTTTAGAATGCATATTTAAAGGCAAAAACTGGAATTTCTCTAATTGAAGTAGGAGTGAGAAACCAGAACCCCAGCCACTCAGCACCCCCCTAGCCCACAGGTTCCATAAAATACTTTGAAAGCCAGCAGTCTAGACCACAAGTGAAATGGGAAGACTAGATGCAGAAAAGCACAGTTCAAGATGCCTGCACCACAGCCTACGGCCACATATAAGGCAGTAGGAATAGAAGGGGTGGGTGCAAGACATTTGCGTCCAACTTGGCAAGTGAGTAGTTAAAGATTTATTGGGGGGTTATGTTAGTGGGTAAAGAAAGGAGAATAAATAAAAAATGACTTTGATTTGGAGCCTGAGTGTCTACAGTGACAAGGGTCATAGAGGTACTCCTTGACTAAAACCAAGACCAAGACAGGAGAGTAGGTGACAAACTGAGTTCAGTTTTGGATTTTTTAAAAAACATTTATTTATTTATTCCCACCCCACCCCCTTTTAAATTGATGTTTAGAGAGAGAGGAAGGGAGAGGGAGAGAGAGATAGAAACATCGATGAGAGAGAACATCGATTGGCCGCCTCCTGCACGCCCCCTACTGGGGATGGGGCCCACAACCTGGGCATGTGCCCTGACTGGGAATCGAACTGGCGACCTCTGGGTGCATGGGTTGATGTTCAACCACTGAACCACACAGGCCGGGCCAGTTTTGGACATTTTAAGATTGATATATCTCATTTGTGCACCAAGTGCTCCCTGCATATTCCCATAATTGCAATCTGTTTTGTCTTTCTCCTTCACCACATTGTAACCTTTACAGCTGAGACTGAATTGTCCATCCTTAAGGGCCCTGTCGAGCACAGGTCCTGACACCAAGCCCACAGGGCCCATTCGGCCTAAGAAATCTCCTCCTGTTTGGCACAGTTGCCAACAGAGGATCTTTGGTGTTTCCTGGGAATCGCTCCAGGAAGACTATGTCATGTCAAGTCTAGAGCGCATGTTTTCAGATTTTCAAGATTGAGCAACACATCAGTTCCATAGTAATATCCACCCCATACACACACTCTCATCCTTGTTCCTGTGTTAGTGGCAAAGACTAGCTTTATAATTTTACTTAATGATTTATACCCTATTCTCAAAAACTAATTTAAAGCAAATGATAGCAAAACCTTAGACAACCAATTCAAAGTAAGCAAAAAGGACAAAAGCAAAAAGCATAGGGACCAAAAACGTGGATGCAGTGTCCAATCCACTCAAAGACACACACCACGAAGATCCACGTATCTGTTGTAGGTGGGCCACAACTCAACACTAAGCTTTCTAGCTTTTATGTAAAAGGAGAAATTTGATCAGCTAGAGAAGCTTAAAGATAAAAGCAAGCCAACTATTCAAGAGAAGCACATCATTTCTAATGCTAACAGATAAATTCCTCCCAAGGGTCCTCATAAAGAGGATAGAGTAGTAGAATGAACATCTTTTCAGTAGTCACAGTAATGAGTTCTGTGGGATTGTTTCTCATTGTTTCCTCAACACAGAAAGATAGCATTTCACCAAAGCATATTTCTGTGAAGACAATACTATTCTGGGATCAATATGCTATATTCCAAGTAAAGGAAAAATCTACATAAAACCAAACAAAAACCTTCCAGGTGTCGATTTTTAGAATAAAGCAATGGTCTTAAGCCTTGACCATACACTGGCATCATTGGAAACATTTTTTAAAGTTACCAATGCCTAAGCCCCATCCTGAGCTAATCACATCAGATTTCCTAGGGGGTGGAGAATCAAGTGTTTAATGCTGTCCAGTCCAGATCCTTCTAAAGCTTCACCAGAGAAGCTTTTACCATGTTCAGGTGCTCTAGGCCAATTAAATAAGAATCTCTGGGAGACAACCCAGCCGTCCGTATTTTAAGCTCCCCAGTTGAGTCCAGTGTCCTGCTGAGGTTAAGAACCACTGCTCCAGAGGAATGACTAACCTGACCAGCACATCCTTCATGCAATGCTTCCTGAAATCCCTTCCCTCAGCTGAGCTTTGGGTACGTATTAGGCAACGATAAGGCTCGCATTATGCATCCCAGCTCATTTACATTATCAAGTAAATATGGAACCAAAAGCCTTAATAAACAGTGGAGCTGAGTAGGTTGAATTTTATTTTACAAAAACTGAGGAACTGCCCTAACTGGTGTGGTTTAGTGGTTAGAGTGTCGGTCCACACACCAAAGGGTCATGAGTTTGGTTCTCAGTCAAGGGCACGCACCTGGGTTGCAGGTTCAATCCCTGGTTCCAGTCAGGGCGAGTGCAGGAGGCAACCAATGGATGTGCCTCTCTCACATCAATGTTCTCTCTCTCTCTCTCTCTCTCTCTCTCTCTCTCTCTCTCTCCTTCTCTCTAACTACAACTCTCTCTAAAAATCAATGAAAAAAATATCCTTGTCCCAACCGGTGTGACTCAGTGGTTGAGCGTCGATCCATGCACCAAGAGGTAACAGGTTTGAGTCCCAGTCAAGGCACATGCCCAGGTTGTGGGCCAAATCCTTAGTGGGGGGGAGATGGCCAGTTGGTGTTCACTCTCATCGATGTTTCTATCTCTCTCCCTCTCCCTTCCTCTCTCTCTCTAAAATCAATAAAGAAAAAAGGGGGGGGGAGGGTGGAAGAAAAGAAATAACAGTACCAGAAAGTGGTATAGCCATATAGAAAGGCTAACTAGAAATCCGGTAGTAGAATTAAGTGTCACCAAATTTTGTTTATGTGGGAAGTGCTTTAAAAGTTTGATTTAATCTGTGCAGCTTTAAAAACTGGGTTTTCAGTTGTATAATGTGAGGACACAGCCCTGAGGGTTTCTGGAAGGCAACCGTGAAGAGTAAGCCATCAGGCTTGGACATCCTGTTGAACCTGCTCCAACATTAGCCTGGAGGACTGACGATGCAAAAGCACTCCGCAGGTAAGCCTGAGGGTTTCTGGTGACATATTCATTTTTACTAGAAACCCAGCTCACCAGTCACGGGCCCACCTGCCATGAGAGGTCCGAGACCTTCACTGGCTCTCCCCAAGAAAAAAATCCAGAAAAGGTGATTATTAAAACAAAACAACAACAACAAAAAACTAATGATGTGTACTTTAATCATAATTTTCCCTGACCAAATCAGGTATACTTAAAGACATTATAACCACAAACCTGGTCAATTTTTAACTCTTTTCCTACCTTGAACCCAAAATAGAAAAGAAAAGCCCCAAGACACAGCACTTGTTACCAAAAGGTGTTCAGGGAAATCTCAAACGGGCCCCAGCAAACCCTGAGAGAAAGCTGTTGTAAAATCTGTTCCCAAATCACTGACTTCTGTTATCTTCTCTGATCCCAGACAGGGCGGTTCCTGTCACAAGGGCTGCTGCAACTCTTCGACAGCGTTCAGAACGGTCGCCCAGAAATGCGCTACACCCGTGTACTCGAGGCCACCCAACTGTTGTGAGAAACGCAGAATCCCAGGCTCTATACCTCCCCTGTGAATGCGAATCTGCGTGTTAACAGCATCCCCGGCGATGTGGGCACCAGAAGCGGCGCAGTGCTACTAGCCGCGCGTGGGCACAGCCGCGGGGGCGCAACGGGAAGTTCCGCCGCCCCACGCGTCCGAGCGGGTTGAGGGGCGCGGGCCCCAGACCAGCAGCTCTGCTCAAGAGCCAGGGGCCGAACTGGCGACTGCAGTTTTCACGTGGTCTGCATCAAGCCCGAACCCTGCTCCGTGGGGATGAAATCCCAAAGGCGTGTGTTCCGAGGAGGCACCGGGCCCGCCACACAGCCCTGGCCCCGCAGCCCGCGCCGGGACCCACCTGTCACCGCTCCTCCGGCGGCAGCGGCTTGACAGGACCCCGTGCCCCGCGTCGAAACACCCGTGCACCATGTCCACGCCAACGGGCTCCGGTCGACCGGAGGCTCGCCGTCCGCCCCTCGCAGCTCGGCCAGGGCCACCCGCCGCTGGTGGATCAAGTTCGCCCACGTGCGCACCCCAAGCCATCGGTGATCATGGGGGAGCCCTCGGCTGCCCTCCGGGGGGAGGCTGCAGTTGGCGAGCACACGCCCCCCGCGGGCTCCGGGTCGCAGCGGCCGCCTCCAAGTTCCGGGGAACCAGCCGACGCGCACATCCAGCCCCCCAAGCGGGGACCGCTGCGACTCCGAGCCTGAAGGGACCCCCGGTGGGAGCGTGGGGTAAGAAACAGAGGTGGGAGCAGAGAAGACTCCCCGGGAGTTTTAACCCGGGTCGGGGTTGGCTGCCCCAGCTGCAGACTGGAGGATGGGGGCCCTCTGTTCTCCATCTTTCGCCCTCTCGGGACCTTCAACTTGGATTCCAAGTTGGGCCTCCAGCACCCTGGAAGGGAAAGGAGCCAGCCCTAAGGTCCTCGGCGGCAGCGACCCCACTAACGGACGACTGGATACCACCTTTCTACAAGGACGCCGTGCGGAGGAGCGCGGGAGAGCAAGTCCCGAGGTGACGCCGTCCCCGTCCCGAGCTGACACCTGCGCGGCGGGGACTTCGCTGAGCCGCACGTGTCCGGCGGTGGGCCTCGCTCCCGCCCCTCCCCCTACTTCCCGCCTGGCACAAGTCTCCGGGACTGCGTGGCCAATGCCATGGGAGCGAATCCGCTAGTTTGCCAGGCCCGATAGAGGAGGTAGCGTGAGGACAGCGATAGGATCAGGTTTGGAGCGCAGTATTGTGGGTCTAGCGCATGTAGTCAATGTCATTGAGGTCCTGGAAGCAGGGGTTGCTGAAGCTGAAAGCCGAGACACCTACGCGATGAGTTACTATTTGCGAAGTGCAGCACGAGGCCTTTATATTTAATCTTCATTTACTGCCCGCCCCCCTCTGCCCCATGTTTAAGAGGCTTAAATCATCGCAAAACACGCAGAACTTTGAGCTCGCTGATGTGTTTACTTACATGAGAATATTTTCTCGTGGAAAAATCCAGGTCTGTCTGCAGGTGCCCCAGTGATTAAGTATCTTAAGTTACAAAGAAGAAAGCCAACCTTAACCACCTGCAGGTCTGGTTTTCTTGAATATACAGCTATCCCAGGTCTGTGTTCCAGACCCTAGCAACAGGATACAATCAGACCATGTGTCTAGCTGAAGGCAAAAGTCATTTTGAGAGGAGAGTCTGAATATATAACATCTAACCAGTTCTTTCATCATTCTGAATTCTATTTTTGGATCAAACTGGACCATATATGAAGGTAACAGACTTATGGAGTGTGGCTTCTGATGCGAGTTTAAACTTGTTCACCAAGTCAAAAGTTTCTTAGTGTCCTGCTGGAGGAGAAGGGTCATTTTGAAACACTGCACATTGTCACAGTTTTTCCCCTGGCCTAGTCCATGGACTCACTTTTCAGAGTCTTATTGTTGCCCTGATGTGATCAGAAACTGAAAGTGGTTTTTCTATAGCCCTCCTAAGGCACCAGGAGCCCAGGCAACACTGCTTTAGAACCTGTGTAATGAAATGTAACCTCATTTTGTTACATTTGGGTTGAAGAGAACTGTCCTCAACACTTCGGTGAAAATGTGGTACAGCTATATAGCGCAGAAGGGTCCTGGTCTTTGAGCAGCTTTAGCATTTCTGAGAATTTTAGCACATCAGAGCACCTTCAAGGCAATGGCATATTGGCTTCTGGGTGCCAGTGCCTTCTGCATAATGGACAGGCCACCCTCCTGCACACCCTCCATTCTGGCAGCCTGGGTCAGACTTGTCAGGCACCATGAGCAGCACCTTTGACCTGTATGAGCAATAGCAGATGTTTATCCTGCTGGGGCACACCTGTGTGATGGGGTGGGATTGCGGTGTGTGTGGCAGTGCTGGGGACATCTCAGCAGATCTCTGCAGGAAGCCAGGGCAGGTTAGGTTGGAAAATGACAGATTCCATGTGGAAGTTGAAAGCACTGTTTTAGTTTTAATTTTTTTTCTTTATTGATTTTAGAGAGAGAAAAAGGGAGAGGGAGAGAGAGATGGAAACATTGATGAGAGAGAACATCGACTGGCCGCCTCCTACATACCCCTCACTGGGGATCGGGCCCACTACCTGGGCATGTGCCCTGACCAGGAATCGAACCAGCGACCTCTTGGTGCATGGGTTGATGCTCAACCACTGAGCCACACCAGCCAGGCTGAAAGCACTGTTTGTCAGCACACGTGAGAGGACCATTTGGGAATCCTACACATATCTGATGTGTGAGGTATGGCAGTGCTGGTATTGATAGTAATCTGCAGCTTAAAAGAGGCTAGAAATCTTGAAATTATGCACTGGGGATGGCTCCAGGGTTGGGGAATGGGGAAACCTGAACACTTATTGTGACCCTGGTGGTATAGGTGGGGCTGGCTTGAGAAATAATAAGCCCTCCTCCCACCAAATTGTCTTTTTTTTTTGGTTAATTTGAGCAGATTTTAATAAAATCTAAAATAATTTTGAGTCAATTTTTTAATGTCCAAATTGTCTTTTAATACTATGCCAAAACTCTGTTTTAACCATGAGATTAAATCAGAAACAACCACATTCACTGTTTTATCTCCAGCAGTAAGCACAGTGCCAGGCCCACAGTAAGTAGTCCATAAACACTTGCTGAATGAAATTATAAGCTATATTATTGGAATGTTGTTGAGGACATTGTCCATTACATCACTTGTTGCTCCCTACATAAATATCCTCCTGAGAAATGTGTTTTACACTAACGTGTTAGCATTAGAACAAGCACTTAAAAATACGAAGTGATTTTTATTTCCTTTTTGCCTTGGTTGACTGGAAGCTTGGAGCCTAATTTTAACCTTAACTCCAGCAAATATTTATAACCGAATGGCCAGTATAACTGATCTTTTCTTCCACGATATCACCCTGGATTGGAAGGGAGCAAAACTGGAGAGAAGTCAGTTAGGAGGCTGTTGCAGCCTTCCAAGTGTGAAACCTTCAGGAGACCAATAGAGACCAAGAAGCAGGGAGGAATCAAGGATGACTCCTGAGTTCCTGCTTGGGCAGCGGGCAGAGGATGCCCTTTACCTGGGAGAAGGTTGAGCGGAAGTTAGCAAGTTAATTTTGAATTTGTACATTATGAGGTACCTGTGAGGCATCTGAGTAAACATGCCCCCTAGACAATGGATTATGTGGATCTGGAGCTCAGAAAAAATTTGGACTACACAGGACTCCTCTGCCCATAGTTATTATTGGAAACAATGGGAGTGGGTAAGATGCCCAGGATGAGTGGGTAGTGTGGGAAGAACAAAAGAGGGGAACTAGGACAGGACTCTGAGGAACCCCACCATTTAAGGGAAGGGCAGAGAAAGAGAAGGCTGAGAAGATGTGGCAGAGAGGTAGAAAGAAAAGACAGGTATCAAGGAAGCAAGAAAAGAACGGTTCTAAGAAGAGAATGGACAGCTGTGTCAGATGGACCTGAGAGGGTCAAGCAATGTACGGACCAGGTGTCATTGAATTTGACAACAAAGTAATCTTTGGTTACTAGTGAGATCAGTTTCAGTGAAATAGTGGCGTGGGAATTAAATAGGAGTGGAAGTTTAGCTGACAAGAGGAGATGAACAAGTACAGTAGCTGGGGATGTTTGGTTCCTGAAGTTAAGAGATTTGTCATTTTTCCTTTCTTTCTTTCTTTCTTTCTTTCTTTCTTTCTTTCTTTCTTTCTTTCTTTCTTTCTTTCTTTCTTTCTTTCTTTCTTTCTTTTTGTTAATCCTTACCTGAAGATATTTTTCCATTGATTTTTAGTTAGAGTGGAAGGGAAGAAGGGAGGGAGGGAGAGAGAGAGAGAGAGAGAAACACCGATGCAAGAGAGACACATTAATTGGCTGTCTCCTGCATGACCCCGACTAGGTCTGAGGATTGAACCTGCAACCTAGTCGTGTGCTCTTGACTGCAAATCGAACAAAAGATCCTTCGGTCTGTGAGCCGATGCTCTAACCACTGAGCAAAACTGGCCAGGGCATGAAGATAGGAGAAGTTTGCATATAAGTTTTGTTTTTTAAATCCTCACCTGAAGATATGTTTTTATTATTGACTTTTAGAGAGAGAGGAAGGGGTTGATGAGAGAGAAAGAGAGAGAGAGAGAGAGAGAGAGGAGAGAGAAACATTGATTGGTTTCCTCCCATAGGGCCCCGTCCGGGGATCGAACCCACTACCTAGGTATGTACCCTGACAGGAATCAAACCTACAACCTTTTGGTGTATGGCAAAACACTCCAGCCAACTGAGCCACCCAGCCAGGGCTGTATATATGTTTAAATGTTGATGATAGGAAGAAAGCTGTATATAGGGAGAGGGTGAAAATATAAGACACAGGATACTAAATCAAGTGAAGTGCTTAAGAGGGTAGGAAAGATGAGAAGTGAATTTAGTTGTCATAATTAGCCTCGGAAGAAGAAAGTACATATTTTCCATGCTGACAGGAAAGAAAAAAGAAAGAATAGGTATGAGTGGAGTTGTATTTATAGTGCAGGATTTAGAGGTTTTTTCCTTAATGGTTTCTGAAAAATCAGTGTGGGGATGCAGGGCTTGGTGCTTTTGAAGATTTGAGGAACATGGGAAAGTGAAAAAAACCACAGAATACACAAGAGAGAGGGTGATGAATAGGTAACAAAGGACTTTCTCCAACTTCACGGAGCATTAGAATCGCTTGGGAAGTTTGTTAGCATGTAGGTTCCAGAACACCAATATGTCTTACTAGATCTGGGTAGAGTCCAACCAGTACTCTGCATTTTAAACAAACACTCGTGGTGATTCTCATGTAGGAGCTCTTAAGATCACACTTTGAGAACTACTGATAGAAAGTCAAGGAGGGGGTTATTTTCGTATGGGAGAATTTTTTACAAAAGGGGAGAAAATTGTCAGTAGAGAGAAAACAACGAAGACAAAAAGGAATGACTGATAGGGCAGAATCCCTAAGGAGCTGGGGAAAGTGTGATGAAGAAGAAAGGTGAAAGGATCAGCCTTGGACAAGAGAAGTGTGACCTCTTCAATCAAGAGCAGCTACAGACAGCAGTCTGTACACTGTGGTTGGGGTTGATCCTTTCATTCAGAGTCATCTCTTCCACTAAGATGGAAAAGAAGGAGGTAAAGATATACATCAAGGCAGGTAACATTGGTAGTTTCACCTCCAACAAATTATCCTCCCCAGTGATGTCTCCAGCAAGTTTGAAAAAGAGAAAAAACAACAACAATAATAATATTGTTTTTACTTAATGTTGAGTGCTTATCATATACCTGGCATTATGCTAAACCTTTTACATGCAGTGTGGCATTTACTCTTAAGAGTAACTCAAATAGTAGGTCCTATCACCATTTCACAGGGAAAGAAACTGAGGTTAGAGAACAAAGAAGTAACTTGCCCAAAGATGCCCAGATTCTAAGTGCAGAGCCTGGGTAGTCTGTCTAACATCTGAGCCTATGAGCAATAAATATTACACTGCTAAAGTTCCATGGGGGGGGGGGGATAGTAACTTACATGATATTTAGCATGTATGACATCCATCTAACATGTGAAATTGAAACTTGGTTTTTCCTTCATGACTTCTCACCAATAAGTCTCTTTCTTCCTAACCCAGTCCTGGTTGATGGCTTCCTAATTGGGTTTTTTTCTCTTGAATATCA